CATGCGCGGGTGAAAAGATCATCAGCGTTAGCATATTTTGAAAAGTGTAAATATTTTTACAAATTCGATTTGTAGTTATGCGATCCGCGTCTCATCGAGCGACCTCGATAAAAAACATCATCATTATTCGTCGTCGTTCGCTCGCGATGGGCTCTCCTTTGTATACACGATACATAACACGATCTGTATTACTTGTAAAGTGAAACTACTGTTTGCTCTACGGCGAGTCGTCGTCGTCGCGGTCCCCGAGACATATTTTCTATCGTGTTCAAGTTGACGGATGACGAGCACACACTTATGTATCATACCATTATTGATACACATCTCGTCGATACCACCACTTATTTCAATAATTCCCAGTGCAAACGTTATTATTCACACCGTCGAGCGTGTCGACGAGGAATCTCTACTAATCCCAACGGCATGCCGAGTAGTAGTAGTAGTAGTCTTAATGAGAAATCATCGATTTTAATGTATACACGCGTGTGTGTACGCTATAACACCTCTCGTACGGATCGCGAGCGGAGTGTCAATGTTATTCCAAAGAGATCATCGCGGCGCGTGTGCGGGTGTATACATAATAGAAGCCAACGGAGCTGGCGCAGGATAACCACTCGTACATACCTATACGTACGTACGAATCTAACGGAAAAGGGTTGCTGTGTAAAAAGATAAAACCTCGCCCTGAATTCTTTCCTCCTCGTGTTTTCGCGCGCGCGGTAGCTTATATAGCAGTAGTAGTAGTAGTAGTGGAAGGCGAGAAAGACAGAGCTGCTCGGCGAGAGACTCATGAAATATTCACGCGCGCGGTAGCAACAGTAGCGCGCGCAACAGAGCAAAGGATCATTGTTTCTCATTTTCGAGGCTCGAGCCGAGTGGAGCATTATACAGTCGCGAGATCGTCGACGAGCTCCTAGGCTTTTCTCTTCTCGATTTTTATAATTTTCTTAGAGACGAGGTAGGGGAGCGCGATCCCGATAAACGCGCGCACCACTGCTGCATGTATATATCTCGGTGCACACACACACACACACACGCACACACACGCACACACACTTACGGCATCATTGACGCGACTCGTATTTTCAATTAGCCTGAATTTTTACCCTACCGCGCGATCGAGCGCATTGTGTACGACTCGCGAAGGATGAATTAAAAGTAAAAAAAAAAATACTTGTCCGTTCCTGCTAGTCATTGCGAGGAAAAATACAAGTCGCTATCGGCTATTGTGCGGACACGCTTGACCAATCAAGGAGAAGAAATTTTTGCCAACCGCGCGCTCGTACCTACATACACGCTGCTTGTCTTATTATATTTATTTTTTATTTAATTTTTTTATTCATTTTTATATCACGAAGTATTCCGGATAAGGCCTTAATAAACAGCGACGTTTGTAACAGAGTCGGGAAAATTGATTGTCCTCCGCGATACACATCACACCTTGTCGGCGCGCATATGCATATAATCATCATCATCAATCTACGTCTTCGCGGCCTTCTCTCTCTCTTTCTCGCGCGCGCGCGCGCCCGAAGAAACACTTTCTGTGCAACTCGGGCAGGCAGGCAGGACAGGCACATACACACTTACACACGTACGTACTCGAGCGCGAAATATAATATATAATTGGGTGAAAGACTCCCAGTGTGCCAAGCTCTCGTACGTACGTGTGTGTATATAATATATATAAAAATAAAAAGGAAAAAAAATTGGCAATTTACATTCCGCATTTGTGAGCGCGCGCGAGAAAGGTGAGCGTGTATATATGTATAAGAAGAGAGGACGACGACGATGATGATGATGACCGCGCCCTTTTTTTCGCACTTTATCTCGATGCACTTGCGCGAGAGAGCTCGAAACAACGACCGATGCGAATCTGCCCGCCGATCTCTCGCATTATTCAAAATGTTGCGCGCGCTCGCGGGAAGCTGAGCTTGAGCCGCGGCGGCGGCTGTGTGTTTATATATTATGTACCTCTCCCGTTTGATCAATGTCTTTATTAAAGAAAAGCAAGAAAAGAGAAGCGAAGCTCGCGCGAGTATACACACATATATAATATAATGCAGTCGAATCGATCGCCGCGCGCAGTGTGCTGAGCTCCGCGTGACTTTCACTGTCCGCGCGCCGCACCGTACCGTACCGATCCCGTGTTTTATATAGAGAGAGAATCGAGCTGGTATACATACACTTTAAACATATTATAATTCGCCAAATTCAAAATGCAATATATGTACACACATATAATATGCTATTCGTATCGTTACGTAATAACGACTATATGTAGGTTGCAGCCTTCGAAATTTTCGTACCCGGCCAGCGCACCAGTTCTTTTTTTTCTCCTGTTTTTTTATTACATTCGCGTGTATTATCATTGCCTATAACGATTTGCATGGCCTGTGCGATAATCCGCGTATATACGCCGATCTCGCATATAATATAAGTCGATCGCTTAACCGATTTACGCGCTCACTTTCGACGATCTCGCGCATAGGCTTTTCATGTAAATGACAATATGTACATCAGCTTGCAATGATTTTATAAGCGAGATTATGTCGTGCGAAGGCAGATCGAGTCAGAGCTAGCTAGGAGAGGGAGAAACTCTACTTTTCATACGTTCAATTGTAATTTCATGAAAAAGATATATTATAAAGCTCGCTTAGTAGAGTAGCTTGACTTGATCGATATAAATAGCGGACCGAAGATTCAGATACTCTTACGCGCGTTAGCTAACTGCTCCATTAATGATGCAATGTAATGTCGCTGCGATCGACTTATGATTTATAAGATGCACTCGCTGTAACTTTTCTGACTTTTTATTTTCACGTAATACGCATGGGAACGCGATTATTATCGATTTAATAATTTTGCCTCTCGTTGCTCGATTGATGGATCGATCGATTCCTCGATGTTGAAGAAACTCAAAGTCGATGCGACGAGCAGATCTTCAAGCTCATGCGCGCTCGACATTACGTATTATACGTCGCTATCGACATCGTATGACGCGATGCTCTGACCGAAGATGATCTACTCGGAAGATTCCCTCCATATATAGCTCGAATGCACGAAGGATTTCGTCACTGCACCGCCAACAGCTCATAATACCTCATTGTACTCGATCGATATCGATATTTCTCTAATTCAGCCTTATACGTACGAAGCAGAGTCGATCACTTTCACTTGCAGTCGTCGCGTACATATGTACGCATCGGGCGCGCGAAAAAACGCGTATAAATACACATGCTTTTTGTGTCGAGTCGCGCCGATACACACGTACATCGCACGATTCGCCCTCCCTCGAACTCGCAGGTCGTCGAAGAGAATTTATCGGGACGACGCAGCAATGCGGTGTACACTTATTATAAACGGAAATTCCCCCGCGTAATAATGCTGCGACGCACGTGTGCGATGTGTGTGTGCACTGCGCAGCCGATCGCAATTAAATAAATAAATATCTATCATGTACAGATGTAACTACTCATTTTTTGCGCTACCGCACGACTCGTGCGCCGCGTCGAGTCCGCTGTATTATATACATGTGCGTGTGTGTGTCTCGTGCGTTACGCATTCTTATTTAACCGATATAATTTGTTTGGCAAACGACTCGTTAGTTCGGGCACTTGTCTTTAAACGCTGCAGTTCTTCGCGACGGCTGCGGCGGCTCCGTAGCGTCTGCAGCTCAGACACGTGTGTGCGAGACATTGTTCGCGCGCGCGATGGGAGTCTCTCACGATTGTGTCTCTCTCGCTCGAGCTATACGACGACGAGGAGAGATATCCCGAACCCAGCTGAACCGCGCATATATACTATATTCAAATCTATACGGGTTAGCATTTTTCGCAACTTTAAGCGACTCTAAGCGCGTATCTTGCAATATCGGAGAATGATAAAAACCATCGCTTTTTTCCTCCTTTCTTTCGTTTTTTTTTCTTTTCATTTCTTTCGATGTATATGAGCGTCGGCGTGGAAGATGAATCGTGTGCCGAGGCTCGCGGAGAAAGACTGATAAATCTCGCGGTGATTTGTTGACGATTTTTCGCTCGCACACACGGTTCGGTGCACCAAAAGGACGAAAGCTGTTATTACCGCTCCTCTCGCGACTTGACTTATCGCTTTTTATTTTTAGGACTTTTTGTTTTAAATAATAAAATGTGTTGTATGCAAATGTCGCGCGAGAGGCTAAAGTGAAATTCGATGACCTTGACGAGTTATGAGATTTATTGACATCTTGGATCGCGCGAGCCCATAGGCACATACATGGCTGTATAAAAGAGATAGCGATCGATCTTGCTAATAATATCAATACATCAAGCGGCCGTCAATGTCGGTACGTCAACGATTCACTTCGCAATTGCGCCCGGCCGCCTGTCCGATTTTCGTCATTTAAAACAATCGGCCGGGACCTCGCCACCGCTCGATGAATTTCAAGAGCGTAAACGACTCGCGCGCGCGCGCGACTCGACTCGACGATCCCGCGTGTGCGGCTGTAAATTCTCACCGCTATATACGTATCTTATATACGTATAGCTGCAGAGATGTGCCAGCTAGATTGAAATTTATGAGACGAGGAAACGAAAGCTTTTTTTTGCGAGCGAGAAAGAGAGAGAGAGAGAGACGCACACTTGGCACAAACGCACTTGGCGCAATCGCGTGGGTGGGTTAGCTTGCGCGAGGTACTGTACATACGGTTTACATACGCGCGTTTTGCGAAAGATCGAATTTCGTTTTCTTGCCCGGGAAGGATGAGACACATACGCGCACGTACAGAAATAGGCACAGACAGACACAGGACGTAAGTCCTCCTCTCTGAAACGTTTATTTCGTCAGTTTTTCACACGCGTGGCGCGCGCGCGATCGTATACGTATCTTATATACAAAAACGAGCCTGTAATGCAGTCGACGCGACTCGAGTGCAGTGGCGTACACTCACAGAGAGTAAGTATGCAGAAAAAAAATCAGGGTGTTGATATCAGTTAAGCTGTATAATGTGTTGGTAGCAAATTTACCTTCTCTGTCATTCCATTGAGATCGGCTTTGGCGCGAGGTTGAGTTGAGTGAGAGTCGTTGAGTATTTCTCTCTCGCTCTGTATATATTACATATACAGAGTCGGCTGCTGCTGCTGCTGCATCGGCGGTCCCTGTTATATCGCGCGCTGCAGCTGTGCAGAAGGAGCTTCGAAGATCGCTTTTCGTGGGAAACTCTTGGCTCTTCGTGAGAGCGAATCTCTTTCTCTCTCTGTCTTTCTTTCGGCAGCGCTCGAGCTGCTGCTGCTGCTGCTCTCTATGAGTGTGTGTGTATATAGAAAAGGCGCGAGCGCGCACCCGCGAGACGCTCCTTACAAAACTGCAGTAGCTGCACACTGCCACACACGGTATAAGAAAGAGAGAGAAAGAGACTATATATCTATTTATCTACCTAGTAATACCACGAGTACTACTGCTGCTACTATTACTACGAGGCACAGTGAGTAGTAGTAGCGAGCTGCTCCACCCCGCGATTCTGCGGCACTGGTATATTTGTTGTTGTTTATGTGTACGAAATACGTGTCTTAAAAAAGAGATACGATCGCACTGCGAGCTTCGTCGTCGATACGACGATACCCACGTTATGTTGTTCAAAATCTTCGTTCACTGATAATATAAGTATTTGTCAATGGACAATATGCAACAATGCATTTATCCAAGCACACATGTACGTTGATCGACACTTTCTTTTAAGAGGCAAGGCGTTGTTGCTTTATATAATTTTTATTGATTTCACTAAGCACACGTTTTTCTTTTACTTGTCGCAAGCATGGACAACGTCCGCACGAAGATCGACGATCACTTTTTCTTTGCAGATTCAAATAAACTCTTCTTTTATAGATCAAACAACAACCGGCTTTAGACTTTATTTAAAATAAAATATATTCGCGTTGTTAAAAAGTAGACACGTTTCGCTCTACTGTCAAATACGCGTTCAAATCTCTCTCTCGCGGCGCGCGCGCGCGCACACACACACAACACACGAGCGTTTTCAATATACAATAATAAAACGCGGCTGCTGCTGCGTGCCTGTCTGCGTGTGTGTGTCCGTATGACTGTCTGTCCGTGCGGCTCGCCGGAGAGTAAAGTGAGCAATCGCTGGAGCTGCAGCGCCAGCCTCACCTCGTCGTCTCTCTTTGCGACGAGAGAGAGACTCCTATACCCTCCCGCGAGAGAGGATGAGAGAGGTATATTCGCCCGGAGTGTAGTATCGAGTTTGTCTGTAAGTGTGTGTATGTGTGCCGCGGCTTCCACTACTCTGCCTTGGAAGTTGTAAGCCTTCCTTGCGGCACGGCGCGTCGTTCGGCCGTTTGGTGGGGCCCGTAACGTCGCGAATGGGCGGCCACCGCGAGCCGCAACTTCTGGTACGTACGTGTGTGAGTCTGTTTATACGTGTAGTTGTGCTCTGTGCACCTCTCGACGAAGCTCCCACCAAAGGCTCGCTCGCTCAGCGCGATTCAAAACGCACGCCGTACTCGGAGCAGAGCAGAGAGAGAGAGAAGCTTTAAATATTACAAAGCTTAACTAGTCTGCTATATATGTATGCATAACTGTATATGCGGCTGTGGCTACTCTCTCTCTCTCTCTCTCTCTTTCTTGGCTAGTACTCGCAGAGATTCGAATCCTGCCACGCTCTCGTATACATTATACTACTACTAGCTGCATAGCAGATATCCTCGCCGCCTCGTCGGAGAGGTGAGAGTATATAGAGCTCCGACTTACGTATACGCGCGCGAGCTCGCTTATGTATGTAGCTAGTTATATAGCGATAGTAGTAGTAGTGGTAGTGGTAGTAGTAGTAGCAGCAGCAGCGGTCGGAGATCGGCACACGCCGCCTGCCACGCGACCGCTCGCCCTCTCTTCCTCTTCTTCTTCTGCTTCTTCTTCTTCTTCTTCTTCATTCTTCATTGCCCGTTGTCCTTTTTCTCCTTCTTCCTTTTTATCTACCTCTTTCTCTCTGTGCTGCCCCTCGTGTAACACCGATGTACAGCAGGAATAGCGGTTATTTCAGTCCTCTCGACGCTGTACGAGCTGCTGCCCGAGACTAAAACCAGATCGCAATCTTTTATTGCCGATTTTTTATTTCCTACATATTTAGATGCTGCCGCTGCTTTCACCTGTTGCTGCTGCTGCTGTTGCTGCTGATTATTTGCAACGAGTGAAACGATGCATTTCGTCAGGAAAAACGTCCGTAGCTGCGCGCTCGGCTTAGAGGCTCTAGTTTTGAGATAATACCGATCTCCACCGATCGCTTCATTATTATATTTTAAAAAGAACTAATCTTCCTGATAATATCGACAGATGAGGTATATCGGATATCGTCGGTCAATTTCTTTCATGCGGTACCGCACATTCAGCTGCATAAAAATTTCATAAGAAACAAAAAAAATTAACCCGAGTAACCCGATAAATGTCCCCATGGTCTCTCGCGGATCTTCCTCGTCGGTCCTATATACGTGCACAGCGCAGAATTGCGGTGGCGAAAGGCTTAGGTGTTCACCGCCGCTGCCGCCGTCGCCTCTACACTGCATGCTATACGGGAGCGGAATTTTCATTCCCCGCCATCAAGATCGGTATGTACTATGCGCTGCGCGCGCTATAGCTCGATGTTCCCTGTGTTTGTGTGTGTGTGTGTAGGTATGCATGTGTCGGTGCAACTGGACCTAACCGCTATTACGGTTTTGCCTTGCCCGCTCGCTCGCTCTCTCTCCTATACACGTTCGCCGTTCTTCGCTCTTCTTTCTCTCGTCCTCCGCCCTAGTCATGCGTTTCCTGCTATACTCTTTGCTGCTGCTGCTGCTGCCATATATACACGAGCGCTTTAAACACCTACATAGACGCTCGCACACACACAAGTACACGAGCGTTATACAGCTTTTTTGCCCGAGTTGTTATTTATAGAATATCACGCTCGTTTGAGAAATACATATCCGCGAAGGCACGTATATAAGTACCTTTTTTCTCTCTTCCTTCATCCTCGCAGGCGATGATTAGTAATTTTTCAGTGGAACACCGAGTGACCTAATATGTCTGCAGCGCGCCAAGCGGCCCAAGCTTTTTCGAGCGGAGCACGGCTTGTGCTGCTGCGAGGATGTCGGTTACGATTGACCGGATGTGCACTCGCGCTTAATTCGGTACGATTCGTTCGCTCTTTTTTTTTTTATTCCTCACTTTTTATATTTCTGCCCGTCACAGCTAGAATCGAAATCTCGGAAATCGAGTGTAATGAAAAAAAAAAAAAAAAACGGAAGAAAAAAACGATTAAATAAAATAAATCACACGATCTCGCGGATCGACTCTCGCTCGCGGAGAGTCGATCCTGTCATACACACATACACGATTGTCGGATGGGTATATGTCGAGCTTATATGTGTTTATAAGAGAGCAAGAGTGACTTTCGATAAAAGAAAATGAAACGATCTCGTCAGCCGTAGCAGTCGCACGAGTAGCACCAGCACCAGCAGCTATCGTCAGGATTGCTTCACTTTTTTATAATCAATACCCATCGGTCGATCGCTCATACACACACATATATCTATATAGAACTTGCTCGCGCGCTAGAGATCGATGGCCGGTTGCGGTTCTCCGATAGGCTTCGTATATATGTATTAGATCGACGCGCAACCAGTTTTCTCGCGCGAAGAACAGCTATATAACGTCGTCGACGACGACGACGACGAGCATCCAAAGGCACGTGAACGAAGAATATATATCTACTTTACGAAGAAGAAGAATAAGAAGAAGAAGCGCATATCCTTCCTGTTGAACAGTTATACGATCTCTCGGTGGAAGGGCGGGTTCGCCGTCTGATCTGGTGTGCACGATCATACACGAGTGCTCGGCCGTGCAGCAGCAGCAGCAGTGGCATGCGCGCACGTATTTATGTACTTTTTGCCCGGAGAAAAGAGCGAAAGGTTAATTAGAGATATCTCGCGTTAGAGACCATAACGGTGGCCACTTAGTCAAGCGCTCGCACCTATATATACCGTATATATCCTATATATCTGTATGTACATTACAAACTCACTGCTTGAAATTAATGGAGCGAGCGGGTGTCGGTGTGTGTGTGTGTGTGTGTGTGTGTGTATAGAAAAGGAATATATATGTTATAGGTAAGGTTGTTAAATTACAAGTGTAAATGAGTTAATTGTTCGTCGCACGTGAACGGCACACACACGTGTGTATTAATGCCACTTTGAAAATCGGCCCCTCGTGCATTAGATGAGTAGCAGTTTCCGTTGTTGCTCTCCGCCGCTTGGTGCGTTGTTGTTTGCTATTTACGCTTCATTACGCACTTTCTTCCTCACGCGGCGCGGCAGACTCTCTTCTCCTCTCCTGCATTTATATATGTATTGCAGTAGACACTTATAGCGGGAAGAAAGCGAAATTATTTTTACGCGAGCAGTGCAGGCGAGTTTTTCCTTTTTTTTTTTTTGTTGTTATCGCATCACGGTATATGGTGTTTCGCGATTGCGCGCGTGCAATCCATTGCGATGAAGCGAGCGTTTAGGATTATGCATTTTTTTTCTTGCACGGAATAATGTGAGAATATATTGTAATAAGGATAACGAGAGGATAAAAAAATAATTAAAGTTTCTCAATATTAAATCAGCGGCTCGTGTATATCATGCTACTACATGCGAGAGCTAGTCGCGGGATAGTATATAAAATGAAAAATCTGCAGCAATATTGGCAATCATCAATAATCATTCCGACATCCGTTTTTATGTACACAATATAATAACAATCCATGGCTCGCTCGGAGTTGTACTATCTGTTAAGCTGCCACTGATGCTGATCGGCGGCCACAGCAGCAGCAGCAGCAGAACCGCAATAATTTTCGCCAATTTCGAGCGAGTCAGAGCGACTTCCGTCATTACTGTGTATTGCAAACATCGCGTTGTTGGCCTAGTCCTAGCATAGATTTTGCCAGCCAGTAATAATACTACGCTAGCTGTGTGTGTAAGGAAAAAATTTCTCGAGCGCACTTGTTCCGATCGGTATAATCGCACGCGCACCACGGCCGAAACTTACGAACTACACTAACACGGATTGATCGACTGTGTTGGACGAGAGTTTCCGGTTCGATAACCGCGAGGACCGTAAGGTACATATCCTACTACGCGTCGCGTCTACTATATATGTGTCGACGTGCGTCGCGCATTCTCCGATATATATATGCATGCTCGAGCTCGATCGACGTAGGCGTCTAATGATACACGTATGTAATATACCCGGCTCGAGAGTTTCTCGCTTGGCGAAAAAAAAACGTCGAGGATGAATAGGAAAATGCGCCCATATGTTAAGGGAAACGCCTCTTTGATTCAAAAGTAACGACTGACGACGACGACGACGACGACCCTGAGCCTCCTCTTCTGCATATACACGATA